TTGTAGAGCTGGTAAAAGCTTTTGGGACCACGGATTGATTTTATTTTTATTTTTATTGTTAATTTTTGACCCAATAGGCTAAGTAGCTACATGTGAGTATTCTCGACTCGGGCTGCATGTGGGTCACCTCCTTTACCTTGATGCTAGCAGTTCCTGTGAGACTAGTCAGACCTGCTGTGGAATTGCCTCAGACGATTTCATATACAGCGTTTATTACCAGGGACAACTTTCATCATCAATGAGCAGTTCATTGTTTGGGTCATCACTTAAACTATCGTGTCCATGACCACAAAATGTCTTTCTTACAGTAAAAAGATACGAGAAGGATGTTGGTTACCCCTGTCACTGACTGGTATCTATTGTTGTCTTTTTTTTTTTAAGTTTTTTAATGTTTTATTTATTTTTGAGAGAGAGATAGAGACAGCATGAGCAGGGGAGGGTCAGAGAGAGGGAGACTCAGAATCCAAAGACCGGCTCCAGGTTCTGAGCTGTCAGCACAGAGCCCAACGTGAGGCTCGAACCCACAAACCGTGAGATCATGACCTGAGCTGAAGTCGGATGCTTAACCGACTGAGCCACCCAGGTGCCCCTCTACTATTGTCTTTAAGCCCCAAATCTGCCTTCTCTCTGCTCCCACACCCGGCGCCCAGACAGGTGTGTGGACCCCACGAGTATATAATTCTGTCCCGGAGCGCTCAAAGCCAGAAGCAGCTCTAGCTTTGAATTGTGCACCTGCCGCTTACCAGCCAGGAGCCCCTGCACGAGTTCATTTCTGCCTCAGTTTCCTCCTCTGTACATTGGGAGGTCATAGCAGTGACCTACATTATGTGCCTATTGCTAAATGCTGTATATGTAGCTTTTTAGGTGGTAGCTGACGCATGGTAAGTGCTTAATGAATGTTAGCTATTAACTATTATATTACAGAATGTAGGTCCAGCCCACCAAAGTGAACTTGATAAGATAGGTATCAGGTGATGTTACTCTCCTGCTGAAAAGTAGTTGGCAGTTAACTCAGAAGGAAGTTCAGAGCCCTTACCATATGCTTCAAGGCCCTGTGTGGTGTGACTGCTGTTCCTCTTCCCCAGCTGGTCTCTGCTTGTCCCTTGCTCGAGGCACAGCGCGCCTCTGTGCTCGCCGGAGCTCTGCCCTGCATGATCCTGCCCTGCCCCGCCCCACCCCGACTCACTTCCACTGCCTTCCCCTGGTGCTGTCTTCCTAGCTCTGCCCAGCTGGCATGTGTGCTCCACGGGGACGGGGACTTCATCGTTCGTGTCCTTCCTGGATTGCCAGCTCCCTGGGCAGTGCCTGGGCCATAGTATTTGCTTGATACATATAAATAAACCGTAATTGCCAACTCTAGTGATTTGTGTGCTTTCAAATGTGCAAAACTGAGAGCTGACAATATTGTCAAAATAAAGTTAGAATCCGCTAAAACCATCAAAAGTATCTCTGGAGTGTAATGAATGTGGCACGGTGGCAGCCAGCAGCGAGCTGGGGGTGAGCACACGGGTCCTGGGCCCCATTCGTGTCTGCCGCGAGAGCACACGGCTTCCCTGAGGCTCTGTTCCCATCTACTCAGGGCAGGCAGAACTAGGGCTTGAGCCTCGGCCTCTGAGCAGCTGCCCGATTGAGGAAGAAGAAAAGAGGTGACTTTCCACTTTATCAGAGCAGCTGTGTTTATATTTTCTTTATATGTTGGGGCCTCATATGAAATTTGGTTTGGAAAAAAAAGAGCCTCCTTTGAAAACATTTAAAAATCCCTGGAATCGAAGAGCACAAAGATTATTTTTGGCTTAATTCCGATTCTGGGGTAGCTTAGCTCTTTAAAGGATATTGTTTCTCCATCACCCTCTGCTCCCTCCCCTCTGAAAGAAAAGCTCACCGAATGTATTTTTTTAATATCTTAAAAGTCCGATATGTGGGTGAAGAACAAAATTATCATCACCCAGAGTGTGAGCTACATGAAAGTGGGGTCTGTGCACTCGCCTCTGGTGACACATTGCTTAGTCTGGTCCCCAGAGCAGAGCTTGCTCAGTAACTCTATATATGGATAGGCAGGGAGATACCTGAAGAGCAGCTGCATATTTGTAGGTGAGATGATTATTTTTCAATATGTGAAAAATTTATTTTAAAGATTTTTTTTAAAGTAATCTCTACACCCAATGTAGGAGCCCAAAATTACAACCCCAAGATAGGTAGGAATCCCATGTCTACCGACTGAGCCAAACAGGCACCTCATGAAAAACATATTTTAAACCATGGAATTGGTATAAGGGAAGTCTTTTGTTTTTTTTCAAGGTGATATTTATGGGATGTCTACATTATTATAATCATTTTCAGTTTTTCATTTTTTAAAATGTTTTATGTCTTAAATTCCATATAGGAGTGAAATCATGTAGTATTTGTCTTTCTCTGACCTATTTCAGTTACCGTTATACTCTTTGGCCCCATCCATGTTGTTGCAAATGGAAAGATTTCATTCTTTTTTATGGCTGAATAATATTCCAGTGTATATGTATAGCCCATCTTCTTTTCTGTTCATCTGTCAGTGGACACCTGGACTGCTTCCATAGTTTGGCTATTGTAAATAATGCTTCAGTAAACACAGGGGTCCATGGATCCCTTGGAATTAGTGTTTTTATATTGTTTGGGTAAATACCCAGTAGTGCAATACCTAGACCTTCGGGTGGTTCTACCTTTAACTTTTTGAGGAACCTCCACACTGTTTTCCACAGTAGCTGTGTCAGTTTGCATTCCCACCAACGGTGTATGAGGGTGTATGAGGGTTCCTTTTTTCCCCCCCACACCTCGCCAACACCTATTGCTTGTTGTGTTTCGTGTTTGCCATTCTGACAGGTTTGAGGTGATAGCTCATTATGGTTTTGATTTGTATTTCCCTGACGATGAGTGATATTGAGCATTTTTACATGTGTCTGTTGGCCATCTGTACGTCTTCTTTGGAGAAGTGTCTGTTAATGTCTCCTGTCCATTTTTAACTTAGATTGTTTGCTGTTTGAGTGTTGAGTTGTAGAAGCTCTCTCTATATTTTGGGGTACTAACCCTTTATCTGATATGTTATTTGCAAATATTTTTTGTCATTCAGTACATTGCCTTTTAGTTCTGCTGATTTTTTCCTTCACTGTGCAGAACCTTTTTATTTTGATGTAGTCCCAATAGTTTATTTTTGCTTTTGTTTCCCATGCCTGAGCAGACATCTAGAAAAATGTTGCTACAGCCCATATCAGAGACATTACTTCCCGTGCTCTCATCTAGGATTTGTATGGTTTCAGATCTCACGTTTAGGTCTTTTATCGATTTTGAGATTATTTTTGTGTATAGTGTCAGAAAATGGCCCAGTTTCATTCTTTTGCATGTTGCCGTCAGTTTTCCCAGCACCATTTGTTGAAGAGACTATCTTTTTCCCATTGCATGTAGTTTCCTGCTTTGTCAAAGACTGATTAACCGTGTAACTGTGGGTTTCTTTCTGGACTGTCTGTTCTGTTCCATAGATGTGTGTGTGTCTGTTTTTGTGCCAGCACCAGACTGTTCTGATCACTGCATCTTTGTAGTATAGCTTCAAGTGTGGAGTTGTGGTGCCTCCAGTTTTGTTTTTCTTTTTCTAGATTGCTTGGCTACTCAGGGTCTTTCTTGGTTCCATACAAATTTTAGGATTGTTTGCTCTAGTTCTGTGAAAAATGCTGTTGGTGTCTTACTAGGGATTGTATTAAGCATGTAGATTGCTTTGGATGGTATAGACATTTTGACAATATCTGTTCTTCCATGAGCATGGAAGGTCTTTCCACTTCTTTGTGTCATTGTCAATTTCTTTCATCAGTGCTTTTGCAGTGTTCAGAGTTATGGGTCTTTCACTCCCTTGGTTAGGTTTATTCCTCAATATTTTATTATTTTGTGTGCAATTGTAAATGAGATCATTTTTGTAATTTCTCTTTCTGCTGCTTCATTAGTCGTATATAGAAACGCACCAGATTTCTGTATATTGGTTTTGTATCCTGTGACTTTCCTGAACTCATTTATCAGTCCTAGTAGCTTTTGGGTGGAGTCTTTCCGTTTTTTTCTATATAGTATCATGTCATCTGCAAAGAGGGAAGGTTTTACTTCTTCCTTTGGAAGCCTTTTATTTCCTTTTGTTGTCTGGCTGCTGTGGCTAGGACTGTCGGCACTGTGTGTAATAACTGGTGAATAATGGTGAGAGTGAGTGTCCTAAACTGTGTGCTAAATGGCCAATTTATTACACCTTCCTTTTCATTCTTGATTAATTTTCTGGTTTAATGATGTAAAATATAAAACTGAAAGTATTCAGTGTGATTTTCTTGTTCTTTTTAAATTCTTTTTTTTCCCCCTCTTTTGCTTTTGAAGTAGGATCCTTTTAGAGGCATTAACTTTGAGATAGAGTGTTAATTTCTTTTTGTCATGAAGTTATACTGTGTACTTAAGACAATAATAATAATAGTGATAAGAAAAGCTGTTTGGGGACAACTTTGAGAACACGCTTGGTCATCACCTGCCTTTTCAGTTTGGTAGACCTGCTTAAAGTTGATAGGAGAGGTTTTACTGAGATTTCGAGACCATTTTAGTTGAGGCCAACTAAAGCTAAAGTAACGGTAGGCCATGGAACTGCTGACCAGCATGGCTGCTGTAGTGATGAAAGTGAGAATATCCGCTCTGCGTCCTTGAAGAAGCACATAACAGTGTAGCTTAGGAAAACATTAAGAATCACATGTTACATAATTGTATGAACCTTACTCGGAAGTTCATAGAATATTCCCACTTGCACATTGTCTAATAAGATTTTGACTTTTGGTATGTTTTCATATCAGTCTCTCTAAAAACTGCTTCTCCTAACTCCCCCCACCCCAATCCCGTGGTGTATGAGTATGAGTGTTCATTTGAAAAGTATACAACTGTGCATAATGTGGTTCTTATTTTGATACTCTTTACTGCTGTATTTATGTTATTTGTGGGTCTGTCTTTCTCTCTAGGTAAAGAGGATGAATACCCACGGAAACCTTTGGGACAGCTTCCACCCGAATCTGCTGGCATCAGTCACCTAAGCAATGGTCAAAGAAGTGTTGGCAGGTCAAGTTCCCCTCTGAGCAGCAGAAGAGAGAGCGGTTCCTCACCTCACAAAAAACATGAGCATTCCCCTCACCATGAAGGTAGAGTTGGTACACCAGAAAGAGTAAGGGCACTGAGAAGGAAATCCGTGGATGAAGACAGTAAAAAGCTTAAAGACGAAGCAGATTTGCAGAGAAAACTTCCATCTGGCCCACAAGACAGTTCGAGGCAGTATAATCATGCAGCTGCTAACCAGAATAGCAATGCCACTTCAACCATCAGGAAGGAGTTTGTGCCCAAGTGGAATAAGCCGTCAGATGTTTCAGCTCTTGAAAAAACTGCCAAATATGCCATTGAAGGCAGAAGTAGGTCAGCACACCCCTCCCTCACAGCCAGCATCCCAAGTTCTGCCGATGCTCGGTTATCAAACGTGCGGCCAAAGATGAAGGTTTGGGACGTTGATGAAGGGAAACGGGGCTCCACTGCCTCCCAGTACGATAACGTGCCTGAGAATGACAGCGGCGCTCCTATCGAAGAGGCGCTGGAAAGAGCGTACTCTCACAGCCCCAGGAAGCACATGGAGCCAGGGTCTAGTCCGTCACGAGTACCAAACAAGTTCACTTTTAAAGTGCAGCCTGCGGGTTACACAAAGTCTTCGTCTCCGTTAGACGGGGAGGATCGCAGGACAGCGCACCCGCCCTCCTACAGCAACCCCCCTGTGTACCGTGGAGATTCTCCCAGACACGCCCCTGCCACGAACAGCAGCTTTGCGTCTCCACAGCTCACCCATGGGATGCGAGTGAGTCCTTCCAGGAGGCCTTACGGCTCTGCCCTTTCAGCTGACGCTTCTCCAGAGAAGTCGTACAGCCGCCCGCTTCCTCTGGTCCTGCCATCCAGCCGAATAGAAGTTCTTCCTGTTGAGACTGGTGCTGGGGGGTATTCAGGTAATTTGGAGTCACCAAAGAATGGGAAATTCATCATCCCTCCAGTGGATTATCTGCCGGATAACAGAAAATGGTCAGAAGTCAGTTACACATACAGACCTGAGACTCACGGACAGCTGTGGACTCAAGATGCCAACCGTAGCCACTTGAGCAAGTTTCCAAAATATTCTGCCTTTCAGCATATTCCCTTTCAGGACCATGGCCTCCCGGCAGTTTCCGTAGATAGTCCAGTGCGATATAGAACTTCACCAGGTTTAGAAGATGCCGGTTCCTCTGGGTATCAATATTCAGGGCCCTCACCTCCAGGATATCACTACAGAAATCGGGATGGACTTTCTATTCAAGAATCAGTATTGCTGTGAGAATTTATCTATACTTGGTAAAGACAAGAGAATATAAACCATTTGAAACCTACATTGCTATGTTTATAATTGCCAAAGCAGTATTTCATACTATTGTAAACATCTTGCACAATTCCAGTACATGCTAGTAATGTGTAGAAGCGTTTCATCCCCACATAGATGCTGCTTAAGATGAGCGTTTGTTAAATTGCATCATCACTGGATCTGTTGAAAAGAATTTAACATGGAAACAGCAGTGGCGTTGAGGGGTGCAGGCATGATGATAATTCGTCATTCATTTTATTTATATCTTTCTCCAAAACCTGAGCATTTTTACTCCATTAGCCCATCTTCTTTTGAGAAATGTTATAAAGCACTGAAAAACTGCATAGAGTAGACATTTTTAAGGCTAAATGTAGTGTACATATCTATTAGTAGATACCAAAAGGCCTCTGTGCACCCACATTTGAACACAGAATGAAAGAAACATTTAAAAAAAAACTAATTTTAATCTATATCCATGGGATAACTTACTATTCTTCCTTTCCTTAACTTATCTTTCACTCAAATTTTGTTTTTCCCCCATCTATTTTTCACCCAGGTCCTAAAGTGCCGTAAGGGTCTGCCCTGACCTGATTCAGCTTCTCTGCATTTGCAGCCATTTTCTTTCCATCTGAAAATTAAAGACACTGGAGAGCAAGGCTCACCACTTAATGGTGCTTAAACATCGGGGCGCTCAAAGTAAGTTTGTAGCCAAAGGCGCGGCCCGCTGCGTCCGCGCGCCCCGGTCAGTGTGAGAGCAGCGGTAGTGTATTTGGTGCCCTTTCTTCTGGTCTTCTCTGGCAAAGCCCACAGCAGAACGTTCCTTGCCAGGTGCGAAGGAAGAGCTGAGGCCCTGCTCTCCAGGGGATGCCTGCAGGAGGGGTTACCGAGGAGTGAGCCCTCACGTGGTGCGGCCGAGAAGCCTCCTCTGAAGTTCCTTGGAAAGCGGGATCAGCAATGTGGCCGCTCCTCACTTCCGCCCTTTCACGGGTCCCGGGCCTTCGTTTACGTGGTCTTTCCCTGGCACCCCTTCTTTAAGGCCCTAGTGGATGTCGCTGCACTTAGGCCATTAAGTTATCACTGTGTACAATTGTAAACAATGATCCTAATTATTAATAGGAGTCTTAAGATTTTAGTCTTTTTTTAAAAAGAGCGTGACTTCCCCACTTTCAAAAATCTCCTTTTTTTTTCTTTCTCAGTGAAAAACATTCAGGTTCATGGTTAAAAAATGAGCAATGTCTTCTAAAATATTCTATTACACTACAGTTACCAAAACGCTGGCGAAGTTTCAGGCACTCCCAGAAAGTATGACTCTGTGTGTAACGGGAGAGCTCGTTTTCAGCATCCTTTCCCGATGTCGGAATAATGAAGAGTAGAAAGCCTAACACCCATGGCTCTTCTTGTCACAAGTTGGAGCTTTAAACTTTCAAGGTACCGAAGTATGTCTTTTCAAATGAGAGTAACATTTGTTTAGCTAGTGAATGTGACAATATTTTTTTATGTATATAATGAGTCTAATGTAATTTTAATCAACTCGGTAATGATGTTATTAAATGGCAAAACAAATGCAGTGTGTCAGCAGCCTAGCACTACGCTGAAGCACACGCCAAACCCTGCCTTCCCCAGGCTCTCGGTTCAGATCATGTGGAGGCTTAGAAAGACGTGTATAACGAAAAGTAGCTAAGGATATTCGTTCCCACGTTTAAACCACGATTCTGTGACTTGTAATAAACTAAGCTGTACAGTGTAGGGTGTGATGACAGCGTCTGAGCTGCTCTGAAATATATATGTCAACAGTGGTAAATACTGTAGATTTATATATATATATATATGCAGAATATATATACACACACTATTTTCTTATGTCATTTATGACATTTTTATCTGTATACTTTTTTTGATGTGATTGTTTTTAACATGCTAAAAGTAATAAGTCTATTTCATTTTGTGTCTTTCATGTGCTTTTTTCATGTGGTGAAACTGCTGCGTCTCGGATGCTTCTAAAGCTAATAATTTTCTTCTAACTGAGGAGATACTCCTCGGTGTTTGCCTATGTGACTGTAGGTATCACAGTTGTATGTTAAATGCTTTATTAATTTCCAGGAATACTGTATTTAGAACTACATCACCTTTCCTTTATTTTGCCTGCCATTATTAATAGCAGTAAGGTATCACCAGTCTTCTCCACGATAAAATGTGGCTCTCTCCATCAGTTTTTCAAGTAGGAAACTTTAATTTGAGGTTATTTTGCTACCGTACAATTTTAGTCTTTCTAATTTATCTTTTAGTAAAAGGTAAATAATGAAATAATGATAAAAGATGAAGTAACATTAGTAAAGTGGGTTGAATATAATCATGAAACTGTATTTGGTGAGGGCCCTCATGAAGCAGAGGCTGATCCTTACAGTGGCACATGCTGTAACTCTCTCGCCATTACCCACTCTTTATAGCAGTCTCGCCTCACACAATAAGCACTTTGGTACATTGTTTTAATATTTAGTTTGAAAAGTTAAAGAGACTAGACCCAGAGTCTCAAAGGGTTTTAAAACTTTGACTCTTTCAGGCACTTAGATTTTTTATCAGACTTAAAAAAAAAAAAAAATACCTTTTTAAAGCTGAGAGAGCTGTATATACATGAATGTAAAGTCAGATTTCCGAGTATTGTAGAGGAAGAAAAAATTATTTTTCTTTCCGCCCTGCCGGGTTCTCCAGCCACGCCCTGTAAATTGGTCCGACCGAAGCAGATGGACAGGAGAAGAACAGAAGTGTACTCGCAGGCGCTTGCTGCCTTCACTGGTGCCCAGTGCTGAGTGACCCAGCGGAGGGTTGGACTTGGGGCCTGCGCAGCTAACTTAGCAGGGAGAGGGAAGGGGAGAAGGACGCTTCCGGGAGCATGAGCAGGCCCTGAGGAGAAGTGATGGGCGATGGGACAGTGTGTGGTGGTGTGTGGGTGTGGTGCTGGGAAGAGCGGAGTGGGCCGGGGATGGGGTTTGTGACAGTTGAGGCTTTTGGGGAGACCCTCCTTTCAGGCAGATAAAGCGATTTCAGGAACTCAAATGCCTTTGACTCAAAGTTGTCCTTTTGTGAGAGTGGGGTATTTCGGGGTGACATGTCCCGATCCCTCTCAGTGGCAATGATAGAATGTTCTTCTGAAAGAATGAAAAGAGATTGAATAGGACATTTCTGGAGAAGAAAAATAGATGTATACAGGATGGTGCTGTGATTGCTTTCACCTTTTTCAATTTAAGGAGATTCTAATGCTAAAGTTTATATCATGCTCAGTATAATCTTACAGTGAGGTTTCGTATGTGTCATTTCGGATCTGTCCCTCCGGGCCCATTGAGATGCGAGCCGAGAAACCATGCCTGTTCAGCACTTTGCTGGAATCTCTTTTTGGAGAAACACATGCTCTGCCCACAAATAGGGATTTATTCCCAGAGGCCCTACGGCTCCGTCTTCTGGAAATATTATCGTTCCCAGTTACCTTTCAATTCACACATTTGTTTTAGTGTGCATCTGATTGTGGCTTAATGACGATTGCAGTTTGGGGACCTTTTTTTGTTTGATGGTCCTTTAATGGATCTTCTATGTCCCTCTGTGATACGGGTAGGAGTGCTTATGGATCAGGTGGTTTTAACAAGCCAAACTTTATTTTTTCAGTGACCTGAGGTTGTGGGACTGAAAAGAAAGGATTCCACTTAACATTTAGTTATGAATTGTTCTTTGAGAAGGATTTTCAGTTTTCCATAAACCTAAGCCTAAATGTCACCATTTTATGCATATGACCACTGAGGCATAAAGGAACAAATTTTAGATTTCATAGGAATTTTTTTTGACCCTTGCTACTCTTCAGAATTATCTGGGGAAATGTAACAAAAAATGTTCTTCTTGGTTTCTACCCTCGGCCACTTCCATCAGAATCTGGGGTGAAACCCAGGTATCCGGTAATTGTATTTTTCACCTGTTCAGTCAGCTAAGCTCTTAAAAAAAAAAAAAACAACTCTATGAATTTTATTGTCTTATATGCACCATGAACTGTCTCAAAAGTTCTTAACAGATCAATTTCAGGGTTTAGAAACTCTGATTTCAGTTAAGTTAGGAAAAATTCTCCTGGAAGGATTAACTTTCCAGCCATCTGTGTAAATTTTGATGAACTACTGGCAGTTGTGGAAAGGAGAAATGGCTTCAAACGGAAGGCGGCGTGACCCTGGACCTTCTCTCATTACACTTCACAGTAGTTCTTCAAAATAGGTAGAGCCACAGTAAGATTTCCATTTTCCTGGACAACCTCTGTCATTTTCCTTAAGTGACATGCTAAAAATAGGCCTCAGCTGTTTGCAAACCTAAGTGCATTTTCCCTCTGTGAGGAGCTGAGAAAATGTGCACAGTCAGGTCATTGACTTAGCCAGTCAACATTTTATTGAGCACCTACAGTGCACTATTGTCTTTGGGACCGTGCTAGGCTCCTGCTGCAAGATAGGAGACCTGGTTTTTAATCTGTGTGCCTCAATTCATTGTGGGAGACCTGCACAGGTGATTAATATAGGCATAGAAAGGCCAAGCCTCAGGAGGGTCGGGGGGACCGATGTGGGGTGGGGGGTGAGGAGGGGGCCTCCATTGCTGAACCTGAGGATTAGTAGACAAAGGAGGGCCGAGGGCATCGCTGCAGAGGGGATACGGCATGAGGGGTACGTGGGGGGATGTCTGACGCTTTGATGATGGGGGAGTGCAGTGTTCCACAGAGAGACCAGATGGTGGCGGCCTTCTGTGCCACTGAACTGGGTCCTGGGAGCCAGTTTGGCCATGGGTATATTCACGTTTCCTGTGAGGTCTCTAGGCCACATGGGAGCGAGCAAGCAAGCCTGGAGGAGTTTAGCAAGACTGCTGAAGTGTTCAGTCTAAGAGCAGTACAGCCTAAGACCAGGGAAGCACTTGCAAAGAAAAGTTGATTGATTTGAGAGCTAATTACCAAGTAAAGTTGGCCAGACTTGATAACTGTCTGAATGTGATCATAATAATCATAAGAAGAATAGCACACGTCCCTGGATGTTTGCTGTGTGTCTGGCCCTGTGCTTATGCATTTAACCTGTATTAACCTATATAATCCTCACAATAACTCTGTGAAGTGTGTTCCCTCTAAGTCCCTGTTTCTGGATGGGAAAATGAAGGCACAGGGAGTTGAAATAACTTTGCTTCGAGTGACACAGCCGACTCAAATCACAGAGCCAGGACTTGAATCTATGCAGACTGAATCTAGAGCTGTGTGTACCCCAACCCAACAGGTTTAAGAAGATGTAACTTTTTTAAAAGTGTATTTATCTTGAGAGAGAGAGAGAGCGCGCACGCACCTGTGCGCACATGTGAGTGGGGAAGGGACAGGGAGAAAGAATCCCAAATGCAGGGCTTGAACTCATGAACCATGGCATCATGATCTGAGCTGAAATCAAGAGTTGGCCACTCAACCATTTGAGCCCCCAGGTGCCCCAAGAAGGTATAATTTATCTGCCATAAAATCCACCCATATAAATGTACACATCAAGGTTTTTTTTTTTTTTTTTAGTAAATTTACACAGTTGTACAACCATTAAAACAAACACAGTTTTAGAACATTTCCATTACCTCATAAAGATCTGTGTGCCCATTTGCAGTCAGTCTGCATTCGTGCCCCCAGCCTCAGGCAAACGCTAATCCCCTTTCTGGTCGGCCTTTTCAGGACATGTCATATAAATGGAATTAGACAGTATGTGGCTTTTTGCATATGTTGCTGAGGTTCACCCATGTTGTAGCCTGCATTGGTAATTCCTTCTTATTGCTGATTGGTAATCCATTGTGTGACTGTGTCACGTGGTGTTTACTCACTAGTTGTAGACATTTGCATTGTTTTCCTATGCTGCTACGAGCATTTGAGTGCAGATTTTGTGTGTGTATGTTTTCATTTCCCTTGGGTATATATCTAGGAGTGCTATTGCTGACGTTTATGGCAAATTTATGTTTACGTTTTAAGAAAGTGCCAGATTCTTTTCCAAAGTGTTTGCACCATTTTAGATTAGCAAGGGCATTGTGCGAGGGTTCACCTTTTTCCACATCCTCACCAACACTTGTTCTTTTGTATTTTTTTTTATTATAGCTATTCTAGTGGTATCTCATTGTAGCTTCGATTTGCATTTCTTTAATAGCCAATGACGGTGAACACCTTTTCATGCGCTTCTGGACCATTCACATATCATCTTGGGTGGAATATCTGTTCAGATCTTTGGCTCACTTTTTAATTGGATTTTCTTATTGTTGAATAGTAGGAATTCTTAATATATTCTGGGTACAAATCCTTTATAAGACATGATTTGCAAGTATTTTCTCCCAGTCTGTCTTACAGTGTCTTTTGTGTTACATTTTTAATTTTAATGAAGTCCAATTTCTTCAGTTTTTTTCTTTACGAATCATGCTTTCAGAATTGTATCTGTCTGCCTAACCCAAGGTCACAAAGGATTTTCTCCTTTGTTTTATTCTAGAAACTTTATAGTTTCAGCTTTTGTGTATGGGTTTATGAGCCATTTTGAATTAAGTTTGGTGTATGGTGTGAGGTAAGGAGCTAAATTCATGTGTATATCCAGTGGTCTTAGCACTGTGTGTTAAAAAGACTGTGCTCTCTCCAGCTGAATTGGGGATCTTGGCACCTCTGTCAGAACTCAACTGACTGTGTATGTGTATATATACATACGTATATATATGTAGGTTTGTGTGTGTGTGTATGTGTGTATAAGTGTTTAAGTTTTGAAATCAGAAAGTGTACAGCCTTTAACTTTGTTCTTTTTCAAATGGTTTTTGCTCTCCTTGGTCCTTTGCATTTCTATATATATTTTAAGATCAGCTTGTCAGTGTCTGCAGAAAAAAAAAAAAGACCTGGGATTTTTGATAGGTGTTACCTTGAATCTGTGGATCAATT